AAAACTACACATTGAATTCTTCCCTTAAAGAACAGCTTCATCTGGCTCTCTTCTCCTGCGGCCCAAGGTGCAGAAGGAAAAGAAGACTAAGGGGAAGAAGGTAGCGCCGGCCCATGTTGCCGTGAAGAAGCAGGAGGCCAAGAAGGTGGTAAACCCTCTGTTTGAGAAGAGGCCCAAGAATTCTGGCATCAGACAGGACATGCAGCCCAAAAGGGAACTCACCTGCTTTGTCAAATGGCCCCGCCACATTCAGCCACAGCGGCCAAGGGCTATTCTCTATGAACGTCTGAAAGTGTCCCCTGCCACTGACTGGTTCTCCCAGGCCTTGGACCACCCAACAGTTGCACAGCTGCTCAGCTGGTGCCCAAGGACTGGCCAGAGACAAAGCAGGAGAAGAAGCAGAGATTGCTGGCCCAGCCAAGAACAAGGCTGCCAGCAAAGAGGACGTCCCCACCAAGAGGCCACCTGTCCTTGAGCAGGGGATGAAGGGGTCACCGGCCGGTGGAGAACAAGAAGGGCCAGCTGAGGGTGACTGCACACAATGGGGATCCCATCGAGCTGGCCATCTTCCTGCCTGCCCTGAGCAGAAGACGGGGCTCCCTACCGCATCGCCCAGGGGAAGGACAGGCCAGGGCGTCTAGTCCACAGGGAGACCTGCACCACCGTCACCTCCACATGGGTTAACTCTGAAGACAAAGGGGCTCTGGCTAAGCTGGTGGAAGCTCTCTGGACCGATTACATCAGCAGATACGATGAGGTCCCCCACCAATGGGGAGGCAACATCCTGGGTTGCATTGCCACGCCAGAAAAGGCCAAGGCTAAGGAACTGGCCACCAAGCTGGGCTGAGTGTACACTGTGGAGGTTTCTGTACATAAAAGTAATAAAAATGCTCCTTCAGCCAGGAAAAACAAAAAACAACAATATTATCTGGTGATTCTACCTGTTCCTAGCTAAGAAAAAGCTAGAAAACAGTCTGGCTAAGTCCCTAGCAGCTGTAAAACAGCATGCTCCATAATTTTGGAATGCAATTGTTACAAAGCTAAAAAGTAAACAACACAAAACAAAAGAACAATGGCTGGTTACTAATGCTTCAAATTCAACCCTGTGGACAACCAGGTGGCTAAGAGTCCCCAGTCTTTTGTTGGGAAGGTCTTACCCGACGAACAAAAGCCTCTAGAAGGCTTTCTGCACACAGAGGTAGCAGCCTTTAATTTAGCCTTTCCTTTTGCTACACCATTTTTGCTATAGACCATTTTTCTAAAACCCTCATAATCTTCTAGTAGGATTTACTTTTATTCTCTTATTGACAGTTATAAGTAACAAAGAGAAAGCCTGACTGCATGGAGCGCAGAAGGGGCAAAGCTGCGAAGGATGCTCATCAATGAGCAACCAATTATCATATAAGTGGCTCCCCCCAAAAAAATCAAGATTAAAACACAAAACTGAGTTTGAGTCACCCTTGCAACACAAACATTAGAAACTAAGAGTAAAACATGACAACACACTTTAGCTATCGGGAAAACAGTGCAGAGTAAGCCATTAAAGTGGCACACACTGGTATAGTAGGTTAGTATAAAACACATTCAAACTGAACCTTGATGTTTGGACATGCAAATACTGGAAATATAATTCATTAGATTTAGGATCACACAGGCCAAAAAGTGATTTGCTTTAATGACAATGGTGGGGACACCAACTGTTATATACGACACCCCAGAAGCACTGAGTTGAAAGCCAGACATATGCTTATATACGTTTATGGGTCTGTTGCCCAACAAGCTCTGAGGCAATGTTCTGACCAAAACTCACACTCAATTAAAATAGAAATGTAAACTCAGGACCCAGGGGGCCAGCATAACAGTGTGGTCAAGAGCACAATGTTGGCTGTCACACGGACCTGAGTTAAAAACCCAAATCAAAAGACTACTATGTGACCTTGAACAAGTCATTTAACCTAAGTCTCGATTTCCTCATTTGTAAAATGGAGATAAAGCTTCACTCAGCTATTACGAAATTAAGCAAGGTGATTTCATGGAAAGCATTCAGCGCTGTACCTGGCACAGAGCTAAGTAAGCAAGTATAACAAGCTAACTGTAAAATTAGCATGATTACTGTCTTCCAACCTCAAGTAAAACTACGAGTTTCCTGGAAACCAGACAAAAGTTCTCATCGCCATAAAAAAGACATTCACGTACACTTACATAAAGGTAGTTTTTCATTTCTTTACACATTACAGGAACTTCCCCCCTCCTTAATACAACAATATCCAGGAAAAGCTTCAGTGTGGGCCTTCTTAATTAGGAAGGGTAATGCTCACTGAGATCTGGATTTGAGGAGTGAACAGTTGGAACTGTCAGGAGAAAGGGGGAAAGAGAGCAATAAAAAGCCTTCACAGCAGCCCACACACCACTGTTCACTAGAGAAAAACAACAGTTGACTGTTCACATTGTTTCATAATTGAGTGAGAAAATGAAAGAGAAAACAATCAGGTGAAATATTTTAACTCACGCAGAAGAAAGAACTAACACAGTTACTAGTAAGGTTAAAGTGGCCAAACTCATCAAAAAAAGTTCAAGAAAAGGAAGGGGAAAAGTCAGTTATTCCTATAGTTTAAGTAACACCCCGCACTCTATCCTTTTAAGATCGGGGCTCCAAGTCCCCATTTGCAACCGTCTTTGTCCACCCCTCCACATGTGCCACTAGCATGTGCCTTTAACTTGTACCATCTTCCTAACCAAGTACATGACTCTGGTTAAAGACAAAAACAAACTCTTGTGCACTATTATTTTTCTAGAATTCAGGAGAAAATTTCCTAATTCAATTATTTAAGGGAGACATTCCAAAAAACACTGGAAGAGGTAATTTGGGGGGTGGGGGGGAGTTCCTCCTGAAAATAAATCGGTCATAGAAAAACTATTTGAGGACAACCAGAAACACATTTCAAAAATGCCGATTCTGAAATTTTGAGTTAGGAGCAGGATTAATGGGCTGTGAGGCACAGAACAAAATTCTCAAAGGAAAAAGTGAACTACAGGCTTCAGCAGGAGTACGCGTTGTCGTCAATTCATCAGTTGACATGCAAAAACTCCGAAGAATAAAAAATGGAGAATAAATTATCTGTATCAATACGGGGAAATTTAGCGACAGAAAGATAATGAAGTATTCCACAGGCATTTCCAAGCATTTAGAGATACCGTTCCGTATTACAGATATTACTGAAAAATCAAAGAAGAGACTGGTTAGAAGGTCTAATTAACGACTTAGCAGTGAAAGAATAATGACAGGCCACAAGAAGCTGTCACCTAGAGATATGGACATTTTCTTTTTACTGTTTAAGAACCCAGAAGAAGCCCCGATGGAGTAGCTCAGTTAGTTAAGAGTGTCTCCCGGATACGCCAAGGTTGTAAGTTCAATGCTTGGTCAGGGCACATACAACAAATCAACCAATGAATGCATAAATAATTGGAACCACCAATTGATGTCTCCCTCTCCCTCCCTCCCTCCCTCTCTCTCTCTTTTCCTTCTCTCTCTCTCCCCCACCCACCCCCTTCCTCTCTCTCAAATCAATCAATACTTTTAAAAAAAAAAAGAACCCAGAAGAATCTCCTTCTCCTTGTAAATGCAAATCACAATCTCAGAAGCACATTCTACTCTTTCCTTTATCTGAAAATGACTGCAATGTGAATTTGTTCCAGAGAGGACCCCATTCGGGCAGGGAGATGACATTAGGACAACCACACACTCTGTAAGGATGTTGAGACATCACATCCAGTGAGCTGTCACCCTCACACATGGTCTTGAACCACTATCTGTGATCAAAATTCCCTTTGAAGAATGAACCCTTAGTTTTGAGGACTATCGGGTCTTTAAAGTTTATATAAACAAATAACACAAGCTATTTACTAGAAACTTTTTTAAGGCAGAATTTCAGTAATAATTTTACTGAATTGGTATTTATGAGTTGGTATTTAGTTGTACATTACATGGTAAAACAAACAAAATATATACCACAGTACAAGAAAGGTGAGCACCTCAGACTCTGCACTTCTCTTCCTTGTTAAAATTCCCTGGAACAGCGAATGCTGATGTGGGGACAAACTGCAATTTAATGTACCAGGCGATCAAGGTTAAAAAGGACACTTTTACACCAGGAAAACTCAAGGAATAAATAAATCATAATAGAGGGATTCGTCCCACTGTTAAAGGTTCTAGTGTTCTGCCAAAACCACACTTGGTTTGGGAAATTTTATTTGTTGTTGGGTAAATATAAACAAATAGTGAAGAACATGAGACAAGATATAGCCTCTTAAAGGGTTAACTTACCTCTAGTCTTTTCAAGTTATATATTAATAAAGAACTTTAGTGTTTAAAAAAACAAAAAACCCTCTTTTCTAGCTAAGGCAAGTCACATCCAAGTGAGTGAATTTTTTTGGTCATACTTGGTTTATCCCATCCCCTGTCACCAAAGGCAGACCTCAGTCTTCCTCCATAGGTCACTGACAACCAGGACCAGAAGCTATTGAAAATGCACTCCCAATCTCTGAAACGCCAATGCATGTTTAAGGAGGAGGAAAGGAATTGTACTGGGTTTAGAAAAGCTATTTAAATGTTTTCCAAATGCCTACGATTAGTACATGTCAACCAAATGGCATAGCATGGCATTAGCTGCCCCCTCCTTTCATCCACCCACTCACAACCGGGGCAATGAATGCAGCAGAGCACTCCAGACCCAAGAGCTAGGAAAGTATCCTGCAGAGAAAATAGGAAGCCTGCATTTTTGATATGGGAAAAAGCAAGTGATGGCAGACTTGTGCTTTTAAAGAACCTACAAGCGCTTTCTAGTTCAACCCATCCCCAAATCCAAACCACCCTTTCAACTTTGCAATTAAAAGAGAGGAGAAATTCCGGTCAACTCGCCTTGGGGGGTTGAGGAGTCAAGCAGGGAGGAAGATGGAGACAGAGAAAGAGCAAGCCAATGAAAGATACCAAAATTTCCCACCTTTCTTAAATTCTTCCAGCATAGCGTCCAACTTGGTGTCATTGAAAACAAAGTGTAAGGGGTGGTTATAAAATTTAGTGATGGTTTTCAGGGGAGTACAGTCATCTGGATCCACGAATGCCAAGTCTTTGACAAATAGGAGGTCCACGATGTTTGAGCGCTCCCCCTCGAACACTGGAATGCGAGTGTAGCCGCTCTCCATGATCTCCGACATTGTGTTGAAGTCCAGAATGGCTTCACCGGTGATCATGAAGCAGTCCCGGAGGGGAGTCATCACGTCCTCTACCGTCTTGGTGCGGAGCTCCAGCGCCCCTTGGATGATGTTCAGCTCCTCCTTAACAAGGTCGTTGTAGGGGTCTGTGACCCGGAGCATCTCCAGCAGTTTTTCCCGGTTATAGACTGTGCCTATCTCCTGGCCCAGGACGCAGTCCAGCAGCTTGCTGACTGGGTAAGAAGCGGGGAAGGTCATCATCATGAAAAACTTGGTAAGGAAGATGGTGTTGGCCCCAACCGCCAGGCCGTGCCGGGAGCAGATGGCCTGGGGCACGATCTCCCCGAAGATGACGATGCCGATGGTGGAGACCACCACGGCCACGAGGCCTGAGCCGGCGATGTCGTCGAGCAGGATAGTGAGCGTGGTGTTGACCAGCACGTTGCCCAGCAGCAGCGAACACAGCAGGTAGTTGCCCTGCCTGCGCACGGGCTCGATGCGCTTGGCATAATTCTTCTCCTTCTCGGTGCCGCAGTTCTGCACGATGCGCAGCTCCATCGGGTCCAGAGCCATGAGCCCCAGGTTGAGGCCGCTAAACATGCCCGACAGGCACAGGAGCAGCGAAATAAAGATCACCTGCAGCCAGAAGGGCAGCAGGAACTTCTTCTCCTCGCCCACGATCATTTTGGTGTCCTCGCCGTCGTGGTAAATCCAGGTGGTCTCAGCCCATGGGGCCGGCGGGAGCCCGGCCACCCCGGAGCCACCCTTGCCCCCGACAGTGCCACCCCCGGACCCCGGGCCGCCGGCGCCCAGGGCTGGCGTGGACAGCGATGTGCACAGGTAATAGGACTTGCTCTTCTCCATCTTGCGCAGCGGCTTGATCTCAATCTCAATGATGCCCGATGTACGGCGGTTGAGAATGATATGGGGCATGATGATGATATCTGATGTGCGCATACCGCAGAGCTGGGGGCCGCTGTCCGGCTCTGGTGGCGCGGGGCCCCCCAGCCCGCGCTCTCCCGGGCTGTGACGCCGCCGCTCGTGCTCAGTGAAGGCGATGCGGGTCCACGTCTCGTTGTTGATGTTCTGCCCGTACACCCGCAGCTTGACCCGAGTCCGCTCGCTCACCCGCAGCGCCCCCCCTTCCATGAACGACACGTCGTTCGTGTCCTCCAGCCGCAACCCGATGATCACCGTCTCCTCGCTCTCGCCCACCGCGGCGCAGCGTCCCGCGCCGCAGCAGCAGCTCAGCAATAGCAGCGGCAGCAGCCTTTTCGCCGCCGCCTGCAGGACCCCCCAGCCGCGGGCGCTGAGGCTGCGGTGCGCCGCCATCTTCCAAGTGGGCAGTGCGGCAGATGCCTGCCCGCCCGCCATCTTTACTTTGGGTTCACAAGCGCCACAGCCAATCATAGGGTGGCTGCTCCAGCTGCGGCTTCATCCTTCCCAGCCGGCGGCGCGAGTGCAGGCACCGGCCCCTGAGCGAGAGTGCAATGGAGCGTCCGCACCCAGTGCTCAGCAGTCCGCCTCCCTGACTGACACTGACTGGGCCTGGACCAACTAAGAAACCTGGAGGCTCGCGGCTGGGGGGAGAGGGAGGGGAAAGCACCAGCCGCCACCGCGAGAGGCAGGCGGACCAGCCAGTCACGAGCGGGCTGTCGCCCTCCCAGCCAGGGGGCTGGAATGGGGGCGTGGTCGTGAGCGGAGCCGCGGGCCAATAGTAAGGTAAGTGGGTGGGGATATGAGGGCCACGATCCTCCTCCACATGCCAAGTTTCCAACTGAAAGGCGCGTGACTCTTGTGTATGTGCGAGGGAAGGAGGTGTGGCCAGTGGGAGCCCGAGAGCCAGTCGCAGAGGAGAGCTGTACGAAAGGGGGCGGGGCTCCCCGTCTGGTGGCCTATGAAAAGGGGCTGCCCTCGGGGTCCTGGTTCCCTGTGGAGCCTAGGTAGTGGAACCCAACACTTAGTTTGGCCAGATTGGACTATCGTCTTGTGGTGCGAGGCTGCCTGATACTCGCTGCACCGCGTTGATAGCTCCCTAGTGCTTGGTGCAGGTAAAGAGAGGGCTGAGCCTTCCTGTCCCAGAAGCCCGGGAAGCGCACTGGGCACGGCTTAAGATGCACATTATCCTAAAATGAAGCCGGGACACCGACCGCGCCCGCCTCTCGTAATCTTGGCCCCAGCACCGCAAGGACCTGCTTTTCTAGCCTCCTGCTTCTCCCTAAGGGACGCGCGCGCTCTGCAGCTTGCGGTCGGGTGCCGCCACCTGCTGGCCAGCTGGGCACTCTGCAACGCTTTCCCCGTGTGCCCCAAGCCCCGAAGGGTGTGTGGAACGTGGGGTTAGAGTTAAGCAATTTCCCCATCTTCCAAATTGTAAGAATCTACTCATATTCTTGCTTAAAGTGTACATCCCATGAACCCCATTTCATGCTTACTGAAAAGGTAAGAGCCAGGAGTCTGTATTTCTAACAGGGCCCCAGGCAACTTTAGGAAATGGGAAGGGAAGGGACATTCTAAACAGACACAGGAAAGCTCATTCTTTATTTTTTTAAGATTTTATTTTTATATTTATTTTCAGAGACAGGGGAATGTAGGGAGAAAGAGAGGGAGAGGAACCGCGAAGTGCGAGAGAATTATCAATCGGGTTGCCTCTTGCATGACCCCCAACAGGGATGGCCCTCAACCCAGGCATATGCCACTTCCCACAATCGAGCCTGCGACCTTTCCGGACCTCAGGACGACCCCACTGAGCGGCACCAGTCAGGGCCTTTACCCACACCCCCTCCCAGAACGGTTGTATTAAATTTTTTGTTTAATATTAGTTTTCAAATTTTCCTTAATGAATATTACTGTTATTAGCAAAAATTAAAAAACAAATATGTATGTATGCATGCACACACTCATGCACACTTAACAATCCTCATCTAGAGTGCTTTTGTTGTAACTTCATATTCTACTCAATATGACAGCCTCGTTCTTTTTTTCAAAAATTTTATCTTACTATGGTAAGAACACTTAACATATTAACCATCTTAACAATTTTAAGTGCACAATACATTATTGTTGACTATGGGTCCAATGTCATACATCAGATCTCTAAAGCTTATTCATCTTAATTGTCCATTTCCCCCTCCCCCACCCTCTGGTGGTCACCATCCAGTCTTTGATTTTATGAATTAGACTATTTCAGATAATGCATATAAGTTGAATATGCAGTACTGGCTTTTTTGTGTGTCTGGCTTCTTTTAACATAATGTCCTCGAAGTCCATCCACGTGTGGCATACTGTAGAATTTCATGAGGCTCATTCTTAACCACACTGACCAACCCCTACTAGATTCAGCTGAGTAGACAAAAAAAATCCTGAAGTCCTAGCTGGGCAGAATTTCCCAGCCCACTGCTGTCTGAAGGAGATAAGGTAGCAGAATAACTGACAAATTGATCTTTATCTTGAAACTTTAACATCCAAAAAATAATTGCTCCCTGGTTTTGTTTTTGTTTTTTTCTTTTATTTTTGTTTTTATTTGTTTTTTTTTTGTTTTGTTTTGTTTTTTGTAAATTCAGCAAGCCTATTTTCTTCCCTTTTTGAAACCCAGTCAAATTCTTCTGGTTAACTTTTGGTAAGAATGATTGCAGTGGCCTCCTAACTGGTCTCCCCTTTACTTCTACACCTGTCCCCTTCCTTTCTCAGCCCAGAAGCCAGTGGCCTTTTAAACCAGATGCTCCTGATCCCTTCTTTGAAATTCTGCTCTGGACTCCCATCTCATCACAGTAAGTACCTACATTATCGGACAAGGCTCTGAGGGGTCTGCGCCTCCTCTGACTTCTCTGATGTCCTCACCTGCTGCTCCAGCCAGACCCTCCCCCTTCTCATTCTCTCCAGGACACTCCCCTGGGAGCAGGTGCGCCTCCTGTGGTTTCCTGTGCCTGCGACTCCCTCCCCTCAGATGTCAGCATAGCCCCCTAGTTCACCTCCTTCAGGACTACTAAAGGGCCACTTTCTTAAAGCTTGTAAACAAACACTCCTTGTACTCCATCTCTGCGTTATTTCCTTTCATTTGTTTTATTGTCTGTCTCCTTCCACTAGAATTTGAGCTTCCTGAGCAGGAGGATTTTGTCTGTTTTGTTCATTGCCATATTATCAGGGCCTAGGACAATGGTAGATGTTCACAACAATACTTGTAGAATGTTTAAGAAATGAAAGAATTTTTATTCTGATCATTTCAAATAACGTTCCCAAGTCTAGCTTCCAGGCCTTCAGTTTCTGGTGCTGCTTCCCCACCCCCAATTCATAAATTGCTATATTTAAATGTAAGTTCAGATGAAAAATATGGATTCACAGACTTGGCATGCATTTATCAAAATAGCCTTATTGAAGGTTAGGAGAAAAAAGTTGAGCTTTTTAGAAAAACCTGACAAAGGTTAAGGATAGATAAAGTCCTTCTAAGTCAGTTGATTGAAAATGAAACTGTTTTAACTTCCTCAAGAGTATGAGTATATGTGTGTTTAAGGGAGCTAAGAGGGAAGATCATTAAAAGCTCTCAAATGCTGAATGTACACTTTTGGGATTAGAGTGTGGAGAACAGGGTCGGGGAGAGCTTGTCAAACCTACACACACTTCCTGCACATTTCAGAGAACCCTAGAATAGTCAGGAAAGTGTGGCATTCAGCAATTTAGAAGCAAGCTAGAAATTCAGGACTTCATAGCAAAAATGTCAGAAAGGACATTTTACAATGCAATTTACGGTATAAAATAAACCAAGCTCAAATTCATACAGGACATTGCTGAATGATGTTTATATAGGGTAGGGGGTCGTTTTTGTCACAGAGCACTCTTTGTAAGTAATTTTTCCTTAGCAAAAGGGATCTTCCTTTGCCTGTGGAGGCTTTTCAGCCGAAGAAGTTACCGTCTTGTTCAGTGTGTGCCTGCCAGTGCAGGCTTCTCATGGCCTCTGGGCGCTTCCAGTCTGTCCATCTGGATGAATGGAGGACAAAAACAGCATTTGCTTCTAGGGATCATTTTTTAAATCTAAAGGGAAAAAAAATACAACAAAAACCTGACTTCTGAACATATGTCACCTCCAAAAGTCCTATGAAAGGCCCGAGATTGCTAAACGGTCGCTGCGGATGTCTAATCCTAGGTAGGTTCTGACCCCCAAAAGCAAGTCATGTAGGTGAAGCCAGAACCTCCTAGCAAACACCTCCCCTGACGTTCTCTCTATCTCTCTCCCCTAGTCCCCTTTTACCAGAACCCTTCACCAGACACCAAGGGAACCCTTCACCTGGCTGTTCCATCTCCTCATCTGCAAGGGACAGGCTTCCGCATCCGCAGGTTCAGGGGTCTGGGAAGGCCCTATGTCCAGACCTGAAAGTCTTTTAGAGTGTGGTTTTAAAGATTGCAAATAAAACACCAAATAACTCTCTACATATTTCCTTTCTCAACATAAAGCTCTAACTTTATAAAGAAGCTTTCTGCCCCCAGCATATCACCTAGCTATATTCAGAGTTATCGTTTCAACAGTGGCACAGTGACTGCATCAAAGCACAAGGTCTTCTGAGGAAATAGGAACTGGGCAAATGCTGGCGACACCCCGCCTTTCCCTGGACTCACACCTGTTCTCCCTGAAGCAACACTGTCATTTGTTGCCATACATAGAACTCTTTTAGCTCCAATGAGAGTAACAAAAATAAAATAAAATCAGCAATGCTATGTACCTTCTTGATTTGGGCTCTTCTGTTTCTCTCCTTTTCTAGATATTTGCTAGACATAGTCACTGGGGTATAAAGAGAAAGAAAACTGGCTTTTTGACAAGGGAACATAAAAAGCTCCCTCTCCTGAGACAGGCCCAAGCTCCTCAAGATTAGGGAGTCTGGGGTCTCAGGTGGGTGTGAGGGAGCCACCCTGCCAATGATGGGTGGCCCCTTGCCACCTCCCACTCTGCCACCACCTGCCACCCTCCCAGGGCACTGGACAGCACCCCACTCCCTTATCCCAGGGAGCCTGCCCCTCTGGAACCTCCCACTGGGCAGCCCCGAGAGGTCTCCTGTACCCTGCACGGAGCACTGTCACCTACTTCCTTCCTCACTGCGCCCTTGACCTGCTGGGGTACTGGGGGTCGGGGGTGGATTTCTGCTGGTATGATGCACTGTTGGCCCTGCTCTAGGACACCTGTCGCCCTGACTGCGATGCCCTGCAACTGCGGGGTTTGCCAGCATGTTTTAGGATGCGCTTTCTGACTGCAGTTCCGTCCCAGTTCCAGCCTCCAGCTCAGCCTCGGACAGAGGTGTAAGAAAGGTCTGGAGCTCGATTATCCTTGTCATCATGACTAACGCACTCAACTCAGGATGTGAGTTTAGGGAAACGTTTCACTCACAGTCTTCAACGTTGACCCGTGTGAATATTGCCATTCAGAAGTCTGAACTGCACAACCACACGGGGGAGTGAGGAGGAACTTGCAGATAAGGGAGACTCTGACAGGAGGGCGGTAGCTGCAAATGGGAAAGGGGACCACGGTGGAAAGAACAGATCCTGAATGTCCAATCCTGAGCCCTCCCATAAGACTCAGACGCGCATGGGCCAGGTACCAGAGCTCTAATTCATGATT